TAGAGTTAAATCTTCGCTTCAGGGCTTCTGATCTTTGTCATATTTTGAAAATGGTTTCAACTTTATTGCCTCCTCATACTGTATTCGTAGCTATAAATTGTAGCTTAATACCGTTCTTTCGTTTTCCATTGGTTCGTCAATAGTAGGGGTAACAATCCCGAATGGTTTTCGTATCCAGGGATTTTCGAGGCTCGGCATGTCTACTCCGGGGTCCGGGGACCAATCCAGAAAAAAAAATTGAAAATTAAACTTATATTTCTCAAAAAAAAAAAACAGAAATTAACTAAAAAATTGAAAGAACTCAACAAAGCATAATTACTGTAAAGAATGACTATAGATACAAGTGTCCTAATAAATAGTTAAGTGAGTGACACTTGTTAAATAAATAAATATATATACAGGGTGTCCGCAAAGTTGGGGTTGTCCTTTTCAGAAACAACTACCCTTGAAATAACAAAGGTAATGTGTAGTGAAACGAGGGCGACCAAGTAAAAAAAATAAAGGAAAAAGTACTCACTCTCCAGTTGACGAGAAGGGCTAAGTACGTCTCTGCCCGAAATCATACCGCTCCAACAGAAAATGAAATCAGCTGATGCGCTACCGAGCAGACGCAGGCGGTGGTGCAGTCCACGAACAAGGGTAACAAATATGACGGCGTTGCCGCGTTTTCAGTTTTTAGGTAAACGTACTTTATAGGTATTGTTCGAAGTTATCGCCGTTTGATTCAAAAACACAGGTACGTGCACGACGTAGCCAAGCATCGGTGCAGGCTTTGAGAATGGAGTCCCTCCCCCGAATGAAAGCACCAGCTTGTTCAATTCTGAGACGAAGTTTGTCAACCGTATGCACTTCAGTTTTGTACACTAAGCGTTTCATTTCTCCCCAAAGAAAAAAATCACATGGTGTTAAGTCTGGAGATCGCGGAGGCCACGCTACGGATCCATTACGTCCGATCCATCTATTCGGAAATAATTCATTCAAAAACTCACGCACTTCGCGTCTAAAATGGGGCGGTGCACCATCATGCAGAAACCACATTGCTTGTCTTACACTTAATCGCACATCTTCTAACAAGGAAGGCAAAATGTTGCGTAAAAGGTCTAGGTATTGAATCCCGTCCAATCGATTTGGGAGAATAAATTTTCCAATGAGCATACCGTTCACCATGCCAGCCCAAACATTCACCGAAAATGTTTGTTGAAAATGTGCCCGACGAACATCGTGCGGATTTTTTACTGACCAAACATGAGTGTTGCGAAAGTTATTCACCCCATTACGCGTGAACGTAGATTCGTCTGTCACCAATATGCACTTCAAAAAGTCCGGATTATTGTCATGTTGATGCAACAACCACTCACAAAACCGCACTCTTGCTGGAAAATCGTCAGGTTGAAGGGCTTGTACACGTTGGACGTGAAACGGATACAGCCCGTCTTCACGCAGCGTTTGCCACAGGGATTCTCGTCTACGCGATTCAGTAGTTCTTCTTCAACTTGCACCATTCGTGGTTGTCTAGGCCTCCCACTGTGCCCACCTCGAAATTCCTCCAAATGGCCCGTATCCCTGACTCTCTGGACCAGCTACACAAATCTGCGGGGCCTTGGATGATGTCGTCTAGGGAAACGATCTGCATACACTCGCGAAGCCTCTGTAGCATTTTGAAGACATTCGCCTTAAATTAACAACATATCAACGAGTTCATTATTGGTGTATGAGTGTGCCATTATTATTTTTTTTCGAAACGCAATCGATTATACGGTTTCGTTTACCTCTACACACGTGACCATAACCGTCGGTTGTAGGTTGCATACTGACCTGACACACTGACCCCGACCCAGTTATGTCGTCGGGTTGAGCCAGTGACCTTGTACCACTCGGTGATGTCGCGGGTCGCGGCTACAGGACGGTATTCAGATATTTTTGATGTTGCAGAGCCCTTTAGCTCGGTTCCCTTAAGACATTGGTGTATATGGTACTAAGAAAAATTGCTTATGTTTTCAAGATCGACACGTCGTGTAAAGGAAAACCCCAACTTTGCGGACACCCTGTATATAAAAATAAACATTATTTGATCTTTTTTAGTAATAAACATCTAAAAAACATTCATAAGAACTGGGAATAAAAATTCAATTATAAGTTGTTAAAATACGATCGCAAAAATATGAGTGCGTTTAAATTTTCGTCTTTTAGACTTGAACCGATTTTATTACATATATATCCTACAGAAGAAAATCATCTCTCGGACTCTACACTAGTAGGCTGAATTGTTGACAGATAATCGTATGCTTTTTAAAGCAAGCTGCCACGATTCCATCATTTAAAAAAAGATCTTCTGAACTTCTTTTCTAAGTAAACCAGATAATCCTTTGGCATTCTTCTGCTATGATTCCGAATGTGTAACTATTGCTTTTTGAAGTTTGATATCCCACGGTTCATGAATATCAATAAAACATTTATAAAATTATATACTATGACCTAAAAAAAAATTTGGGGTCAAATACCGAAATTATTAGTCAATCCTGGGATTTTCGAGACCGGTTTTCTTCCGGGATTCCGGGACCGCGGGATTGACACTCCTAGTCAATAGGTAGTGCGTTTTTCCGACTTTGGAAGATTTCGCTATTACAGTCTTAGGAAATGCAAATAAGTATATCAGCAACAGTTTAGTTTTCGACTAACTAAAATTATAGAATTCCCGGTCACAGTAGTGATCTCTTTTGAGCCATAGTTTAAGAACTTCGACGTTGTTGGGAAAACTAAAATTAAATATCTAAGCGAGCATTATAATTAATTGCTGCTATTAAAAATTATCCTAATAGACGTTTTCTAACTGAAATTCATCAACCAGGTTTGCAGAAAATGTTAAGTCATTACAAGGATGTTTCTAAGAACTTGAATGAAAGTATAATTCGTATAACCTCCAGTATTTTGTATTTCCTCAGTGTTGTGCTGCGAAATTTTGTTAGCAAACATTAGACGGGACTTCGCACTTTATAGCAATGTAATAAAAGAACTGAAAAATACATAATAAATTCCCAGGTGAAATCGCAGGTTTGAGGGCAATGCCCTTTTGTAACACCAATGGTTATGCTCAATTGATACTTATCGGTGGAAAGATCTACCTTCATTAGGCTTGTGTCGCTCTTTGCCAATTATGCGAGAAGTAATCATGTTCAGAAATTGTCTAACCCTCTAACACAACAATTATCTGCAAACACTCACACTTTTAAAATATAGCACTAGACATACGAATTTAATGATAAAACTGTAATAAACATCTCAAAATCCACCTGTAGCATGCACTTCCTAACTACAGAGATTTTGGAGACAAACCTATCGTAGACTTGCTTCTTTTACCTAGTCTGAATTCGTTAGTTTGAACTAAACTGATCTTTATTCTATATTCCAAGCCATGTGATTGTATAATAATATTTTTTATTTCATCAGATTGTAATCATTGTGCCTGCTTTTGCAAAAATATACTGTCGACCTACCTGAAGGTCACACAGCTTTTGTTATGTAATAACCCTTCCATAGACACTTTTTAGCCAGGCACAGATGATGGTGTAGAGGAAACATTGTCTGATTGATTGCATATATTACCATTAATAGATGAGCGCTGCTCTGTGCAATAAGAGGAGAAAGAAAAAGCTACAACTCGCCATGATGTTTGGGCTGTGTGTATGAAAGCAGGGCATTATGCCATCTTGCATTAAACTTTCTCATTAAGCTTAAGTAGTTGAAATTCTCGATTCCGAGATCTCTCCGTTCAGTTTAATTTCTTTAATGCTCGCAATTGTGACAATGAACCCTAGCCGCCTGAGTCGGCAGAAGCAAGGGAAATTATTAATTTAGGACTTTTTAATTTGATTTCTCTGTTTGATCCACCGACGCTGCCGTCTCAGAAACTACGGGTAGTCGTTAAGAAAGACCGTACTTATTAATTATGAAAATATAAAATGAATATCTGATTGCATTGAATAAGATCGAACCTCAGCTCGTTTTACTTTTTGTCATAGGTTCATGAAATTTAAATATATGTCAAAAGCCAAACTCTATGCAAAACCAGAAAACACTACCTTCGGGAAGATATTTGATTGGTGAAGAAATTTCGTCGGTACATACGAAAGTGGTCATTTTCTTTGCTCGAATTTTCTGTCCAAGGTCATCATTCTCTCTAAATCAGAATACTCTCATAGATATGCCATCCAAATAAGGAAACAGTGAAAATTGAATTGACGTTTTTGGTTATGCGAAAGTGAGATTGTCGCCCAGGTCTGTGGGTCGACTTTAGAGTACTTGATGGTAGAATACCAATTTGACAGAAAATTAATACTATATTAATAAAATACTATCACTAAGAACAGAACAGAAGTCCTGCTTTAGACACAAAACATTAGATAATACGAATTCGTCGTACAGGGTGCGGCAGCATAACTTTCCTTTTTCAAAACTTAATAAACCCCATTGTATGAATAACATTTTTGTTTTTTTATAAATCCGATAGGTGACGTCCCCCCATTCTTCATACACTGAGTAAAGCGATCTCTGGCAGCATAGCAGGTGTTATGTTGGCAATTTATTCCTGGATGTTGATCTTCAAATCTTAGGGTCCTTGGACTCACATGAACACGGGATTTTAAAAATTCCCATAGAAAGAAATCACAAAGGGGCAAATCGGGAGAGTAGGCAGGCTACTCTAAATTGCCCCTAATTGAGACGAGGCGCTCTGGCAAGAGTACCGTAAGTTCAACTCATCTAGCGGTAAAAAAAAGAATCTGTCACTGCGACTTCATTTTCCTTTAAGAACCAGGGACCAATTCGAAGAAATTGCACACTACACTGTGACTTTGCAGTAGCACATTTTTTGTTTGTTGACGGATCCACAGCAATGAAAATATACTTATAAGACGCTCTCAAATGATGTCACGTTCAGAAAGTTCCTGCAATCCATCCTGTAAGGATGTACATGATCATCTTGAAAAATTCTCCTCACAGAACGAGCGGAAAGTGCAAGGGCAGACGCATGTTTGCGCGCAGAGCGGTCATCGCAACGTCGAAGTTCTTTCTGCCTCAATCTTTTCAGGTTACCTGATGGGGCCCCAGTTCTTATTCTTGTCATTCTCACTGTTTGACTGACGTAGTGACCGACGTAACACTTGATATTTCTGGTCCGGGACAGGGCCCATCGGGGGTAACTTAAAGTGATTCCGAAAAACGCGCTGGGTGGCGATCACAGAACATCCCCGCTCGGCAAACGCACGCTCCTCACTGTTCCAATGCATGATGGCGTCTGAACTGTGTCGAGTGTGATCCAATTTTGATTCCCGCGGATCATTTCTAAAATCGTGCCTATGTGTATGTAATGTTATTTCTGATGCTTGTGGAAGATCGGTTGCTTGTTTTTGTCAAATTGCACTTAGCGGCTGCGTGAGGCATACACAGAAAAGTTCGATCCATAATAATAATAATACTCGTAAATTGTCTTAATTGCAACATTAGCATCACAGCATAACACTAGTATGATGCAAATGCCGGAGTCTAGCCATTGGCCAATATACTCAATCAATATTTGGAAATACATAAAATAGTCTAAATTAAGTATATACTATATACTATAAACTATAATAATGTCTTCTACTTGCTCTATGCGGCCATCATCAGGAGTCTGCCAGTGAGAATGGTGCTAGTATTCGATGTTAAATAATGTAAAAGAGGGCACATGGTAAGGTGATCAAAAAACTGGATCTACGTCAAAAACGATGCAACAACATGTTTTAATACTCCACTGCAGAAGGATTTGGACAACAGTTGATTAGATAAATTTTTTCCATTCAAGGTTACTAATTTACATGTTTTGCTATATATATATATATATAGGTGAAAAATTAAAGCTTCCGCCTTTTGTTGGGTACTTCGACAAAATTTAAGCAAATAGGACTCTTTATACTTTTTTTAATTCTCTCTAGCTTTCAATGGACTTTGCCATCATCATCAGGAGCTGCAATTACAATGATAACAGTAGCAACAAAAGTGTAAAATGAATTTAAATTGACTCAACTTACAGTAGTATGTGAGGATGTTGCTAATTGTTGTTTACGTATAGGATGAGGGAAACGTCCAGTAACATGGTGAGAGCTGGATACATGGTACAATGGTCAAAATTATATAAAACATGACAAGACAAGTTAAAAACAGATTAAAAATTATTTAAAAAACATTAGAGCATTACGTCGTGAAGCCACTTGATGATTGCACATATATATATATATATATACACTTAATTGTTAATTGGGAAAATAGCAAACTTTTTAGGCTTTAGTTAACTCTTTTGACGGTAAACTCTAGCTTTCGGCAATTCTCTATGGAGCCTTCATCAGGAGTCGTCGTTGAGGTTGCAGCCAAACGCGGGGATGAGAGCACTTCATACAAATATAAAACCAACCGGACGTACACATTGGGCTTATTGATAACGACAGATACCATCGTTAGGTGTTAACACTATAAATCAATACACCCGAACATATTAAAAATTAACGAGAAGCAATTTTGGGGGCAAAACCGGAACGTCGTTTCTATCTCCTGCAGTTTCCTCTGGAGAGCCTGACGAACCTCGTCGTTCTCCACCTCCGTGGCCCAACTGCCAACTTAGCGGCTGCGTGAGGCATACACGACAGAAAAGTTCGATCCATAATAATAATAATAATAATAAATTGTCTTAATTGCAGCATTAGCATCACATCATAACATTAGTATGATAAAAATGCCGGAGTCTAGCCATTGGCCAATATACTCAACCAATATTTGGAAATACATAAAATAGTCTAAGTATAAACTATATACTATAAACTGTAATAATGTCTTCTACTTGGTATTTGATAGGGTATTAAATATTTCTGAAAATTTTGGCGGCTTAAACAAGACCGTACGTGGAAATGGGCGTTCCCGGCTGATGATGTCAAGTCGAACAACCAGTTATCAAAATAGCATTTTGAAAAAGCATAAATGTGAAAAATATCGAGAGTGTGTGCCTATTTCTCTCTTTGCAGTGTTCTTTTGGGGGAGGAGGAACACTGTCTAAGAGCTTCTGCTTATAGCTTTTGGAAGACCTCATCTACGCGATGTAGTTTCTCATAGTCCTGAATCGTTGACCAAGGAAAATTTAAATCTGAGAAATTACGTCGTGATAAATCGCTGCAATATTTCGGAACCTTGGGCTTTTGTACAAAGACAGTCGCGGTGATTTTTGACTGCGTTTGCATGGGCCTCATCCTCATAATTATAATAGAGGCTGTCATGTCATTAATCACTTTGAAGCAGACTGGGGGGCTTCTAGAACAATTACGATTTTCCAAGAAGAATTATTTTGTTGCGATTTATCATTTTTCGGTAATTACTTTTGTAAACGGCCGTTGACAGATATCATTTTTGTAGGGTGCTTGTTTCATTGCTTGTTCCGTAGCAAAGAGAATCGTGAAGCGCTTCTTGGTAGCAAGTGGACGTAAGATAAATCTTACCTTAAATGGTACAGTACACTGCTGGCATAGTGGGAGTGAAAACTAAATTAAACTGGTGATTATCAATCCGTGTTATTAAGTTGTAGGAAAGAGCATCTTACTTTGCTTTTGGCGATGACTACGTATCCATGTGGGTGCACCCTCAAAGTCGCATTTCAGGTGGCACTTCGTTTGTTTTCTCTTTTCATTTTTAGGTTCCTATTCAAAGGGTGTCGCAAAAATCATGCAACATTTAAAAGTACTCAGGCATACAATGATCTCGTCGGCGGACACATGCGCCTTCGTTTATCGATATTTTCTATGACCGTTTTGTACAAATATGTCCGAATTTCATTTATGCCGTATTGGATTTCCTTCTTCAATCAACGAGTGCCTTTGTGCTGATATTGATGTTGGCAACACATGTAGATTCAAGAAGTCGGTGACAAATGCCATAGATCTTATGTTTCGAGCAGGACAGAAATCCTTCTTTTTGACTCGTTGATTTTGAGGCTAGGTCATAAATTTTGATTCGCGCGGGTCATTTCTAAAATCGTGCTTATGTGTAGCAATTAATGTTATTTCTCATGCTTTTGGAAGATCGATTGCTTGTTTTTGTCAAATTGCACTTAGCGGCTGCGTGAGGCATACACGACAGAAAAGTTCGATCCATAATAATAATAATAAATTGTCTTAATTGCAACATTAGCATCACAGCATAACACTAGTATGATGCAAATGCCTGAGTCTAGCCATTGGCCAATATACTCAACCAGTATTTGGAAATACATAAAATAGTCTAAATTAAGTACCTATATACTACATACTTTAAACTCTAATAATGTCTTCTACTTACTCTATGCTGCCATCATCAGGAGTCTGTCAGTGAGAATGGTGCTAGTATTCGATGTTAAAAAATGTAAAAGAGGGCACATGGTAAGGTGATCAAAAAACTGGATCATACGTTAAAAACGATGCAACAACATGACTGTGTTTTAATACTCCACTGCAGAAGGATTTAGACACCAGTTGATTAGATAAATTTTTTCCATTCAAGTTTACTAATTTACATTTTTTGCTATATATATATATATATACACAATTAATTGTTAATTGGGAAAAAGGCAAACTTTTTAAGCTTTAGTTAACTCTTTTGACGGTAATCTCTAGCTTTCGGCAATTCTCTACGCGGGGATGGGAGCACTTAATACAAATATAAAACCAACCGGACGGACACATCGGGCTTATTGATAACGACAGATACCATCGTTAGGTGTTAACACTATAAATCAATACCTCCTGCAGCTTCCTCTGGAGAGCCTGCGAGCTGTGACAGAGGACTCTTTGCCACTTTTTTCTTGCCGTCGTCTTCGGTGATCCCCAAATATTTGAGGATTGGAGCCCAAAACTTCGCAGCCCGAAGCGCGTTGCGAAGTCCTTTGCTTCTGACCCCGACGTCAGAAAACCGGTGCCTGACGACCGGCACCTCCCTGGCCAACTCCGGATTTCGGACTCGGTGAAGGCCGTGGTCGGGAGGCTCTTTTCCCCGTTTTGGAGGGAGGAGTAGCCTTTCCGACACCTGTCGTCTGCTTTGAAGTGGAAGATTTTCCACTTTTGTATGATGTAATCCTTCCTTTTAGAGATCTGGAGGTGTGACCTATGTATATTTGGTTGCAATTATTGCAATTGATAGAGTAGACTGTGTTGGTTAAGGCAAGCAGCGGGACTTTGTCTTTCATCTTTGAAAAAATGCAGTTTATAGTGAGGACGGATTTGCAAGCACTTCGACAGTTCAACGGACTGCATAATCTGATCAGCTTAGGTGTCAGTTCCTTGATATAGGGCAGGACAGCAAAACCAGATCTGGAATTTTGGATGGCGGTTGTATTGTTTGAATTGGTGTTTTTGGGAATTCTAGCAGTTCTGTTATTAGGAGTTGTGAGACTATTGCTTGTATCATTAGAGTTTGGTAAAATACTGGGAGGAGAGCTGAACAAAATCTTGTTGATCGGATAACCATTGTTAATGAACAGTTTTGATAGCTTCCGTAAATTTGAAGTATGGAAAGTATTATCTGAGATGCTGATTACCCTTGTTTTCATCTGTTTCACCAAGTTGATTTTAATCCTTAGTTTATGGTATGACCTAAAATTGAGGAACCGGCCTGAGGTCATGGGTTTCTGGTACCAATGTACCAATAAACTATTCTTGTTGGTGCGGATGAGTCTTGTGTCAAGAAAGGGGACAGGCAGGTTCTCATCTTCTTTTTCAATGGTAAATTGGATGTAGGGGTCATAGCTGTTGAATTCCCCGACAATACCATCCAGTCGTCTGGAGGGGAGGCATAAAATAATATCATCTACGTATTTTTTATGAAGAAGATTTTATAGGGTAGTGTCGGAATAACAGTATCAAGCAGATCATCCATAACATATTGTGCCAAAATTGGTGATAGAACAGATCCCATAGGACAACCATGTATCTGAGAATATATTTTGTTGTTGAAAGGAAGTTATGAAAGAGGAATGTTATAATGTTGGTGAACTCCTTTTCTTCCGTCGTCAATGGTGTACGCCACCGCGTACCAGTCCAAAGACCTCACCAATTTATTGGACCTTCTTGAAAACCCTTGGCTCTTCTCAGACTTCATCAGATCTTCTTGCATCTCTATATGGCGGCAGATACTTCTAGACGGGTCTCGAGGCTTCTCGGAGCTCGGCCGAACCTTCTAGATGACCGCAAGCACTCACGCACGGTCGGCTTACTCTGTTTACCTAAGCGGCGCTTATCGGCTTGTTAGGAGGGTGTCTCACTGGTATCCTAAAGTTGTGGTTTACAAGGGCGCTGCAATATTTTATAAAATGGCCTGTATCTTAAAAACTAAACAACTCCGGACATATGTTCAAAGGAACTTTCCTTTAAAACGACCTACCGAACCAACGTCTGAAGTTTCGATTCGTAGTTAGGAAACACCCTGTATGACGTTCCGGCTGTGTAATGTCCTTGGTAGCATATTCCCCTTAAAAAAACTCGTAATTCACTTACCTCCTCCCCCATGATATTGTGGTATCGAATCCATTTTCCAATCCTAGGCCTCCAGTATTCTATCATATATGCTTCTGCATACTCGATCCCTTGGCCATTGCCAAAGCGTCCTTGTGTTTCTGTGGCCGTGATCATGTGGACGCTACGTAGATCGATCTGGATCCATTCTTCGGGCTCCTCGGTGGCTTGCTTCAATGGACACCATGCCCCACCGTTGCGATCCGTGCGGACCCTGAAATAAACAAATAGTGTTAGTGTGCGTCCATATTGCAAGCCTTTGCGTCCATAGTGAGGTGACTGAGGCGGAAGCCTAGGGCGACAGCGCGCGTAGTTTTCAAATGTCCCATTCCGCGCTTTCTGTCCACACTAGGGGCCTAATCAGCAAGCGACCTAACGCGCGGAGGCGGCGGTGAAAAAAACAGTTCGGTCTTGTCGCTCGGCGTATGCACGAGTATTATTGTATTGTTATGGCGGATACTGGATTTTTTATAAGTGTAATTCAATCTAAACCACCTATTTGGCAAAGTAAACATCTACGCCACATATATTTTACTTAGGATGTAGTCTAATGTTGACCGGACATTCTAGTGTACTCAAAAAATTTGGTTGTTTCTCTGTTTTTGTTTATTCCGTGCACACCATATCGAATGTTCAACACCTCTCATCTCAGGATCGTACTAGCTAGTAAAAATATTGAATCGTCGTCCATAGCTTGGAACTTGATGATCCGTCGAACCAGTATAAGCGCTCGCGTGTCACTTTGGACACGGCACGCCACCGCTCGCAACGCCCGCGTTTGGCCCCAGTTACCCCGCATTCAGTACGGACGTACACTTAGATTTAATAATTGAAGGGTCGGCCGGAACAACGTTGTATGTAACAAAACAGCTCAGTGGCCGAAATTAAGAGAAACAAATTTGAACATTTTTTTTCAAATGACTGCGACTCTAGTTGGCCAGCACAATAATGGAATAATAGTTATACAAGGTTATTGTAATTTAAAAATGTGATACCTATTTTGCAGCTATGGGAACCATTTTTATGGAAAACGCATGTAACAAGGTTGTATGATCGCGTTACTTACAACGTTGTTACAGCGAGGCTGTAAATGACTAAGCAAAACAAGTATTTTCAGCAGTTCTATTTATTAAGGGAACCAAAGTACACAGTAACATATTTTTAATAACAAAAAACACGTTCTAAGTTCATCAACGTGTTTCGAAACCAAAACTGAAACTTAAATAAATATTACTGGGCTGCAGTTAATTTCTCATAAAATGTTACATACTTGAGCGGAGGTAATTTTTCAGATGATTTCAGTGGCAAAAGTCATTGTTTCTTTTCTTTTACGATTGCTTATGGGAAATGAATTACAGGGCTGCATAATATTTTGAGATTTTCTCATTCTCAAAGTAGCTGGAGAATCAGCGGTAAGTTGCAGCCACAATCCTTGTGTAACTTTACATTTGGGGTATTTCCATATACAACATTCCAAAGCTGTTAAATTCTCAAAGAAGGTTTGGTGCATCCAGACAACTTTAAAAGGATTTTTAACTTTGGCTTTAGCAATGACATTGACCCACTGGAGTTGTTCATAAACCATAGATATTATTTTTTGCTTACGTACATACAACGTTGTTACGCGGAAGACTGAAATGGCGCGCTTTACAAATTCGCGTCACAGTAATTGATGCGAGTAAACTGGTGGGTCTATGTTGTCAATGGGTCCCAATAGGCACATACTACGTTGTTTTACGGAAATCTCATTCTATAGAAAAATGTTATATACAACGTTGTTCCGGCCGACCCTTCAATTATTGAAATGTACATGTAATACAGGGTGTGGTAAAAAAATCACGAAACGGCGAGATATTTTTATCAAGACGATTGTAAATGTAAAATACAGGTCTTTCCATAGTTTTTGGCGGGTCAATGTCAAATTACTGGAATTAATTTCATACTTCCTTTCACCTACCTCATCCATACATATGAATTCGGCTCCTATATGCGGACGTTTGTTTTTGTGAACTCAAAGACATATGTTTTTTTAATGTTGCCACACCTACATAAAAGTTATCCACCAACATATGAGTTTTCCATTTACATGCATGTCATTGTCATAACGACAACTTGCGCCTCATGGGCGTGTGCTTTGTGCTTACCCATGTTGATCTTCGATATAAAACTTCAGAAAAAGATTGGAAACAAAGGTCATCTGCCACCAATCGCATGTGTGTGTGCAAGAACGAGTAGTAGCTGCGTTACGGATTGGCTTGCACAGCCTACTACATACGCGCCAAAAACTGTGAAAAGAACTAGTGGTCCAGGATTTTCCCCGGCTAGTCAGTAGTGACCTTGAGTGTGATGATGATGTTGAATATTAAATCAAGGTTTAGATGATTTTTTATAAGGGATTCTACCTTTGGTTCCGGAATGTGGTAGAACAACAAATTTTGCGTTTATATATGACCTTAATGAACATTATTTTGACCTTTGCCTTGGCCAGGGTCAATGCGTAAAACTAAAATTTGCAGCTCATGCGTTTCCGAGAACAAATTATATACAGGGTGACTTTGAAGTTGAGTCATTCATTTTCAGATAATGATTGTAGAAGGAAGATAAACCAAAATATGTGTGTAAAAATAAAAAAAAAAATAAAAAAATTTTTTTACCTTGTTTTATAAAGTATCCTCCCGACAAGTATTTCAGTGCAGACCTGCATTTGATCGTGAGGTCCCCTGTGAGGTCTTAAGTCACCTGATTCACGAGCCCGTTGTACTACATTAACAAAGGCACGAGGGGTTGGTTGCACTCGATTGGGAAACCGATCCGCATAAACATGTACCATTTTTTTATTTCGTTTGAGCCACGCAACAGACACTATTCACACGCCTTACCGACTGACACTGACTGTATGTATAACTGAAGCGAATAAAATAATTGTAAAAACATCGTTCCAAATTCTTTCACTTTTTTGTTTCCGATGCGATGAACCGATAAGGCGGATTATATCCGTTGTTGCCAAACACGAGCACATGATATTATTATTGAGACAGGGCGGTACTCAAACTTCCAAAGGGCTATAACTTTGTTACTTTAATTTTACCAGAAAAATGGTAAAGGAAAAAAACATTTCTTTTGATCAGATCTACTCACTGTTAAAATAAATGACTCAACTTCGAAGTATAAGTATATTATAGGGTAGCATGAAAAAAAAATAATGATCTAGACCTTGATTTGACCGTCAAAGCCAGTTTAAAGGACACCAGTGAATAGCCCATGAACTTAAGCCTCTGCTCTGTTTGAGTCCTTACGCTTTGCCTTATCTTTAGGAAAACATCCCTGAAACTTTGTCTAACGATGTTTTTTACAGAGAAAATATCTTACTGTTGCGGGAATTTTATGTCTCACTGTATTTCAAGGTAGCAATTTCCTTCATCTTTGGTGTCATTTAGCGGCCAAAAAATCATGGGGATGAATCAGTGAACTGACCACAAGATAAGCTTCAGGAGTTGGATATAACGATAAGAACGAGTTAAATGAGGATAATTGTTGGAAAAAATTAAAAAGATTAGGCAAAAAACACGATTTCTGAACTATGAAACATTGAAAAGGTCTTGTCTATGTAGAAGCGTGGTGTTTTCTCTAGGCGTTGTACGGGTCAGATGATGGCTAGTGCTCCTCTGTATTTTTAGCGATATTTATACCGACTCTGCTTATTTGGTTGTACCAATGCCTTTAATGTATTTTTCTAGGTGTTTTTAGAAATAGTCATAAACATACAAACGTCATTTTCAAAATAAACATTGACGAGAGCCTGAACTATAAAAAAGAATATTTTTTGCCCGAGGTCTAAAGTTATTATTGGCAGCATTCCCAAATTTTCACTTCTCCAGTTTCAATTAGTCTGCCTAGACTTTACCTATCACTCTCTAAAAATGTGGCAGGATCAAGTTGTTTTTCTGAATCTCAAACAACTCTTTCTTGTGTAGGGTTTTTTACCTGAGTAAACACTTACCACCTTAAAGGAGCTATTAAGGCGGCTCCGACGCAGTGAGTTCAAGCCATTTACAAGGGTTCAGCTGCTTCAAAACTGACACTTCATTTTTCAATATTTTTGAATAAAATTCATACAGTATATTGAGAAGATAATTGCCCAGGGTGTTACAGGAGCACTTTTTGAAATTCTGTTTTTGCACAAGTTTTATGATGGGTTGAAGTGCGTACTTTTTCTGTTCAACTTCGCGATTTTTTTAAAAAGAACTTAGTGAAAAAAATGAAAAAGTGGCTCTATAGCACCCTGTGGGGTTTTGTTTTCAGCACTCTGTGAAAATTTCATCAGAAAATATCAAAAAATAAAGCGTCAATTTCAAAGCGTGCAAACCTCTACAAATCGTATTTTGGACGAATTTTGTCTACTGTTTCGTGCTGCCAACCCAAGCGTTGCGTTGCGGCGCAATGTACGGACTAAGAAAGGACGTATTCAGATAATTTGGTGGCCCTATTTCATATAATATCGCGTAGATAAGTCGTTCTGCAAATAGGTACTCATAATCGTGATCGCTGATACTCCTTGATCTTAAAGCCGTTTTACTTCCCACGTCATTGGCGAGGAAGTATTGTAATCGCGAAAAATTTCTAAAATGAGATGTTCTGTTTTCTTAAGTCATATGGAAAACTGTATCACTCATCAACTTGGAAATAACCGCTCGGATTTTTATGAAATTCCCACACGGGATTACTAGAATGCCAAAGCTTTTTAGTTTTAGTCCAGTGGCAACGGTGCTATAGACAAAAAAAAAGTAACAATTGCTGTAACTCTGTTTTTGACGTTACAAGGGTTCATTATCATTGACAGAAAAAAATTGTACTGCATCAAAACTGGGGGTTGGGGGAAGGTGATTCTATATGTTGCACCTTTGATATCAGTGAAACACGTTCTATTATTAAGAAGCTTCGGATCCCAGTGATTACAGGAAATTTAAGTAACGAAAATCCGACGAATAATGTGCTCACGATTTGAAAAAATCGGTAATTGCTCTATAGGTTTGACACCAAGAGCCAACAGATCTATCTGCAACTGCCGACAGTAGGGAAGAATGAATTCGGATATCACTCCAGTCAAGTGTAGGGGAATTTAGCGTGGAACCTTAAAATTATCGATATATCAAGGAAATATGTTTTTGAGAACGATAATTTGGTAGATTTTATACCGTCATTTTCATTTGAAGTTCATGACCCGTGAAATGTCCCCATTTCGCCGTTACCTTCAATTTGTGTTCTGCAGTTTCTGATGTTTTTCTGGATATAAGCAGGACATAATTGCCTAAGGTGCTATCAGAGCTTTTTACAAAATTTTGTCTTTGCGCAAGAATTATGGTGGGGTGAAATGCTTACTATTTGTGCTCAGCGTCTTGATATTTTAAAAAGATCCTAGTGGATAAAATCGAAAAAGTGGATCGTTAGCACCCTGTGGACTTTGTTTTTAGCACGCTGCAAGAGTCATTCGGAAATAATAATAAATGAAACGTAAGCTGTGAAGTGCAAATCGGTTTTTGGGCGAAATTCGTCTACTGTTTCGTCCTGCCAGTCCAAGCGACGCGACGGTGCGTTCCGACTAAGAAAAAATGTGTTCAAATAATTTGATATATTTCCTAAAATAAATTCAAGAACTCAAATTAAAATTGTGTATTCATGTCAGTAAACACAATTGTTTTCAAGGGTCATGTGGTACATGGTAACAATTGAATGAGGGTCATAAAAATATCTTATGCCGTCAAAATAAGAGGAAACAGTTAGGTAGTTTTTGCAAAGCAATAAACAGGTAGGCTTATACCTGGATTAAGTACATTTCTTGTCTACTGTAATAGGTAGATGGAGGCGATGCTGCCAGAAATGGATGTGTGCGATCAATAAACAAACCACAAGACTGAACTGCGGTGTCCAATGATTTTTGTATTGCCTTTTTTATTGCCTTACTAGAAAACTCTGTTGTAGTGGTCGAGAACTATCGATAGTCTCCACCATCGATAATTATCGATTGTCGGTCCTGTGACCATCGATTATTATCGATAGTATTCGATAGTCATAATAATTGGTAACTAAGCGGTTTTTAAGTTATTCTTGAAATAAATTCTGTTTTGTAGATCATGGACGTAAAAAAACTATCCCAAACTCTAAATATTTTTATTCTTGAACTGGTCACTGCTAGCTAATGGTTCCTAATGTTTTTGTGAAGAAATGTTATCTTGTCTACATTTTCTGCCTTTAAGCGTGATCGTCGTTCAGTTATTATTTGCCCTGTTGTGCTGAAGCATCTTTCTGATTCCACCGAAGTTGCTGGGATACACAAGTATTTGGCAGCACACTCCTCTAAAGGAGATAATCCATGTCCTGCAATCTATAATAAATAATTTTGTCATATCATAATGAATGTTTTTTCTTGTGACTTACCTTCCAATATAAAAGAGGGTCCGTATCCTGGTCAGAGTTTATAGTCTCTAAATATTGTCTTTTGGTGATAATCACGTCTGCAGTTAAGGACTTTATCTTTGAATCAATCCTCTCTTCTAAAAAAGCAAAAAGTGCCTGGTTTTTCCGGAGTAGATGATACATTTTGGTTTTGAATTTCAATTGTTTTTTTCTTTTCTTCCTTTTTTTTCAGTATGGAAACCATATCAAACTCTAATAAATTTATGGCTGCAGAGGCATTGGCAGGAATGCGAAAGCCTTCTTTTTTAAATCTGGGGTCCAACAAGGAAGCTATTTTTGACACTGTTCTATTTTCATAAGGAAATAATCTCGTTATAATGGAGTCAATAAGCCCCTTGATGAATTTTTTTCCATCCTCTGTTTCCATATTTGTTGAAATTTTGCACAAATTATTATAGAGTCCCATAGTAACTGGAATCACTAATGATATGGTTACATATTTGGAACCTGCAAAAGTACAAAAAAGAATGTGACATAGTCAGTTGCTTAAGTAATTTTGTTTCTTACCTGAAATTTTTTTTGTTGCCTCCTCAAAAATGTCCAATACTTTTACTAATTCTGTTAAAACACAAACATCATCCACAGAAAGAGGTTGAGGAGCTTTCCTGACTTTTAACAATGTTCTACCAATTGCTTCGTTGGTTTTCAAAATACGCTCTATCATGTAGTAACTACTGTTCCAACGTGTGGGACACTCTTGTATAAGCTTCAAAGGCTTTTCACTATTTTGTTCTTTTTTAAATATTTCCATTGCACTTGTGCTCTGTTTAATAAAAGTTACAATGTCTTTGCATTTCTTCAGAATTGGTTGTATCAATTTCATATTGTCCTGAACAACAAGATTCAGCGTATGAGCATAGCATGGGAAATGTTTTTTCTTCAATAATTCACAAGCCTTGATCATACTGGCTGCATTATCTGTTACAATGGAAGTTATCTTGTGATCAATTTCCCATTCATCAATGATTTCTTGTATAGAAGCAGCAATATTCTCTGAAGTGTGATTAATACCATTAGTCAATGGCTTTGTAGATAACACTACAGCATGTAACTGATGATTAGACACAAAATGGCATGTTATAGTTAAATATGACTCAGTAGCTCTTGAAGTCCATCCATCACATGTTAAAGCTACATATTCCACACCTGACATATCTTCTTTTAGCTTATTGCGTATGTCAGTATATCGTTGATTCAGTAGTTTTCCACTAAGTGTATAAGTACTGGGTACGTCATATCTTGGATCCAATAAAGAAACTAATTTTTTAAATCCCTCATCTGTAACTATCGTAAAAGGTTGAAGGTCTAGTGCAATCATGTCAACTACAGCCAAATCCAACTTTTTCTTTTGAGAAGATTGATCATTGTATAGCATTGTTTGTTTGAAAAATGGACTCACTGATCTTTGGCTGGATTGAGCAGATGTGGAAGTTGAACTGCCCCTACTGAAACTACCAGTACTACTAGATTCTGATGCAAATGTTGTTTCCTCTTCACTATCTTGCGTATTTATGACTGGATGGAATCTCTTCAGATGATCAGACAAGTTGCTTGTATTGCCACTTGTCTTATATTCTTTTCCGCAGGTAATGCATTTGGCTAACTTTTTATCTGAGGATCTTTTAAAATAATTCCATACTGCAGATGATTTTTTTCTCTTAGTTCCAGCATTTTTTTCAATTACTGACGTTGGTGGGATAACTATGTAACTATCAGAAGAAGATGATGATGAACATGGAACATCAAAGGAAGGGTGTAGTAGAGTTAGTGAACGAGAACCTTAAAAAAATGTTTTTTTTGTGTAAATGTTGAATATTTAACCTGAAACTTACTTTTTTTTTGATTTGGTGCTTTTTTGCAATCTCCTCTTTGAAGAAATTTATCCATTTCCGGACACAGAATTTCTCACTGAATAATCGTCTTGAAATCGGGACGGAAACGGAAAATACAATCACATACGTTTTTTAATTCTTTTTTTTTTTTTTTTTTTTTTTTTTTTATTTCGAAACAGCCGCGCAGGCAGAAGCCTAAATGCCGGAACACCGCGGCTGCTATGATGATCCCAAAGAAATTTTATTAATACGATTTTTGAACTGCCTAAGGTTAGTAGAACTGGGAAAAGCCTCCTCCCGTAGATTGTTCCACAATCTAGACACCCTCGGGACAAAGGAGCGGTCGTATCGGCCAGTCCTGGATGTACGAAGTTTGACACGGTTAGGATGGGACGCCGAAGTCAGGCGGGTCTGTCTGGCAGGCACATCGCGCGGCGGCATCATGGAAGAGAGCTCTGAGGAGCAAAGCCCGTTGGTGTAGCGATAGAAAAGAGCCAGATCGCCGACGGCCCGCCGGTGCGAAAGAGTCCCGAGACTGTCTGTTAGAGAAGAGTCGTCGACCAGTCGGACCGCCCTCCTCTGGACAGCATCGAGCATGGACAATGTAGTCGGGGCGGCAGCACCCCAAATGTGTGAGCAATACTCGAGGCTAGGCCTTATCTGGGCCTTGTATAGAGTGAGAATGTCATGCGGAGAAAAGTACTTCTTAGCCCTAAACAAATAGCCTAGCTTTTTCCCAGCAGCTGCAGCCATTGAAGAGATGTGTTCGTGCCAGATCAGGTCCTCGGTGATCTGGACTCCGACCAGCCGAAATGAATGGCTCTTTGGTAGAACTCGACCGTCCATCGAAACTGTATGAGCGCTAGGACGCTTTTTATTCGTCAAAGTACAGTACTGTGTTTTGGAAGCATTGAACTGTACAAGATTGTTGCGTCCCCAAGCAGTGATAGCCTCCAGGTCTCTTGTCAGAGAAGAAGTCGTCGCTAGTCTTCTTTTTTCCAGCTCAGCGGCAGAGATCGGCTTGTCACTCTGAATTCCTGCATGTAGAGTGCTGTCATCAGCGAAGCTGTGGATTGGGTTGATCGTGCAGGAAAGGAGGTCGTTGATATGTAAGAGAAACAGTGTTGGAGCCAAGACCGATCCCTGGGGAACACCCGCGTTGACGTTGTGGGATGAAGAGGAGAATCCGTCAATTACGACGGATATCTTGCGGCCAGAGATAAAGTCAGCCACCCATCTGCAAAGCTTTTCTGGGAGGCCATAGGATGGAAGTTTGCTTAAGAGGGCAGCGTGCCACAGCTGATCGAACGCTTTCGTGATGTCAAGAGCAACGACATGAGCCTCACCATGAGACTGGATGAGTTTACTCCACAGTTGCGTGACGTAAGCTAGGAGGTCCCCTGTGGATCGTTGGTGCCGGAAACCGTACTGCCTGTCGCTAATCAAGCTGTGACGTTCGAGGTAGTCCAGAAGCTCGCGATTTATGCACCTCTCCATCACTTTACTTATGACAGAAAGCAGAGCTATAGGCCTGTAGTTGTAAGGGTCGGTTTTAGATCCTTTTTTTGGGATGGGCTGTACATGAGCAAATTTCCAGTTTTCTGGGAAGGTGCCGGATTCATAAGATATCTGGAAGAGACGCGAAAGAACTGGAGCAAGCTCCGCTGCACATCTCTTCAGTACAATGGCAGGAATCAGGTCCGGACCAGAAGCTTTGTTGATGTCGAGCGACAAGAGCACTCGTCTTACGGTCTTATGCCTGAATGTTACCTCCCGCATAGTGTGGGGAACCCTTTGAATTGACGGCACTTGGGCGTTGATGGGGACGTCCATGGTGGAGTTGGCAGCAAAGATCTTGGCTAGCACTTCCGCCTTGGCCTTTGAGTCGAATACAATAGTTCCATCCTGACACGTAAGTGGTGGAAGGCTACTATGTGAGAAGTTCTTTTCAATCTGCTTGGCCAGCGTCCAGAAAGACCGACTGCCATTGCGCTGCGACATTACCCTGTGCCTAACTTTTATATCATGCTGGTTTTTGGCATTGCGAACCGCTTCGTTATATTTGTTTCTGGACTCGACGTCGGCTTGTCTGTTCTCTACAGTGGGGTTTTGTAAGTAGGTTCTGTGGGCCTTGATCTTCTGCTGGCGAGCAGTGTCACACGATTTGTTGAACCAGCCGTTGGACCCTGGTTTAGGAACTTTCACTGTGTGAGGGATGTATTCCTCCATTCCGACGTGGATAATTTCGGTTATTGAAGAACAGACAGTCGACGCATCCGCGTCAGTGAAACAGACATCTCTCCAAGGAAAGCTAGAGAAGAAATCTCTGAGCCCCTCCCAGTCGGCATGTCCGTAATGCCAAGTTTTGCGGCCTGTGCGAGTTTCTGCTGCCACAGCGGCTTCTGACCGAAACCTAACCTCCACAACACCGTGATCTGAGTTACCCAGGGGGGACAGGACAGCAGTGCTGTAAGGGGCAGGATGCGTGGTCAGAAAGAGATCCAGCAGGCTACTGGCGTGTGACGAGACGCGGGGGAAAAAAGTAGGGCTCGTGACCAGCTGGGTCAGCCCTTGAGAAAGAGCGAACGCTTCGACTGCACGACCTGCTGCATCGGTCTTATTTGAGCCCAACCAAATCTCATTATGGGCATTGAAATCACCGAGAAGAACTACCTCTGAAGCGGGGTGATTGATGTTCAGGAAGTCGATCTGGACGGCGAGGTATTCGAGTAGGTCATCCCAGTTATGGTTCGAGGGAGAGCGATAAAGGCAGCAAATAAATTTGGGTGATGTTTTGGAGCTGAGGCGAAGCCACAGAATGTCCTTCCGGTCTGATTCCAAAGAAAGATCCCTGGAGCAGGAAAGACTACTGCGGACAAAAGCCACAACTCCCCCGTTCTTTCTCAGATTGGAGTGCACCTCGTAGTTTGGGAAGTTGAGATGGTTAATCGGTGCAGTCTCTGAGATTTTTGTCTCCGCCAAGAAAAGCACGGCGGGACGATTGGATTGCAGGTAGTGATGAACAGCATCGATGTTGCTGTTGATCCCGCAGATGTTCGAAAAACAAATTTTATCTTCGATGTTGTTCCCTCGAGCCCACCCTCCACCCGGACATTCCGAGAGTGGAGTGAGTTTACGTCCGGAGTTTTTAGTGCTCGAGGGATCCATCATCATTAATTTCTTTGTTTTGGTAGATAACCGACTGCATAGCTTAGGTGTGGAAACATGCGGACATTTATAAGACACCCTGGGAAAAGCTAGCGGGTGGTACTGCCTCGGTCGACTGGTCCTTGTCTACCACCTTCTTTTTACGTGTTAGTGATGTTAAATAGACCTAAAGTGGCCCGTTGGCGGACTTGTACCGCCACCCGGCAATCGGTACTGAGGTATTCCTTAACGCGTGCACAATCACTTGGACGGGAAGAAGTTGTATACTGGATACAACAACTTCCGGAACAAGCATTTGCCACGGCCCTCGCTCAGTAGGGGGGGAATTCGATATCTTTATGTCTATTATTGTTGATTGTTTTATCAAATGTGAATTGAATATGAATTTATTATGAATATCAAATTGCAGAAAATCCGTTGACTGTTGGGCGTTTTCTTGAAGTTGACGTTAAAGTCTTGACAGTTGACGTTGACAGTAACTATCGAAAACTATCGATAGTATGAAATGAAATATCGATTATATTCGATGGTATAAACTATCGATAGGCTATCGATAGTTCTCGACCACTACTCTGTTGGGTATATGATGGAGTTTACTAGAACTTTACAGCTTGTTGTCTGCCTTCTTCTACAAACTTCACCAAATCGAGACGCTGTCAACCTTATCGTCCGATGAAGGCGCGACAAAGAACATTCCTGTGATTTGGTGACTTGTTCGATCTGCAAAATCTCGTCGTCACTTTTTTTAAGTTTCCCTAAAAATTTTCGCTTAGCAACCTCCAAATCAATGTAGTTAATGTCAGGTTTTTGATTGAATTCGCCATAAAACTATTAATTTCCTTTGGAATTGCTATCCGAATTGTTAGTTGTTTTTATATCAGCTTTTTTTGGTCTGAGTTTCTTTTCAAGATTCTTGCGTTTGAGTCTTTGTTCCATCTTATCGATAAGCGAGGTTAAACTAAGCTTAGAACGCAAATGTCTTTAGACCACATGTGGCTCACTACATCACTGCATCACTGCAGCACATCTTCCATGGTATGACCTCTTCTTGCAATAATTTACTCGCTTACCCCAATGTATTTTGCGATTATAGAGTTGACCTGCTCCACACTATTGTTGACCTCATCATGAATTAAACTCACTGCATTCGTAATTAAAATGGTCGCATATGACCCTTTATTGTCCATTACCAGACTTGATAGAAAAGGCACTCAAGAACAATCACACCAACAACAATTCAACAACACAATATCGTCAAACAGTAACAAGGGACAAGGGAGAAAAATACTAAATGATCACTTGATGAGTACCAAAATAAGAAACGATTTACATTCTAGATCGCTAATCGAAATCCGGCTGTGTTATTATAAAAATTTACCTTGGTATGCACCCGCAGTCATCCTTTCCTCTTTTAAAGTAGGGCCGACGACCGTCAAGGGCCAGCCTACCCTCGTTTCCTTTTCACCCCCTCCGCCAACCGTTATAATGTAGTAAGTACAGTATTACGTTTTTGTACATGATAGAATAAACTTAAACTAAATTCGTATAACTACGTACATATAAGCGATTCGCGGTCATCCCATTTTTAAAATGAATATCCTAGTTGGAGGCGAGTTTTCCATGATTTCGCATTCCAACAATGGCCAATGTCAACGATTACTGTGTTTCGGTCAGCCGACCCTAAAAATTCGCCAGATCGCGGCTTTCCACTGTTGGTGCCGT